CACATAAACTTGAAGATCTGCAGGCAAAAACTAACAAGTTGATAGAAGAGGCAGCGAAGACGGGACTTCAGGTGAATATAGAGAAGACAGAAGTGATGAAGATACCGCACCACCACCATCAACAACAACAACAAACTCCAATCACCGTCAACGGGAGAAACTTGAAGGAAGTAACCTCCTTCACTTATCTAGGAAGCACTGTTTCAACTACAGGCGGGACGGACGAGGACGTCAAAGTCAGAATCGGAAAAGCAAGACAGGCGTTCATTAGCCTGAAACCAGTGTGGAGATCTTCTGCACTCAGCATGCGGAACAAGATACGGATTTTCAACACCAACGTCAAGTCAGTGCTCTTGTATGGCTCAGAGACTTGGCGCGTCACGAAAGGTATTTCCAATAAACTACAGACATTCATCAACAACTGCTTACGCTCGCTGCTGAAGATCAGATGGCCAGAAAAAATAAGCAACAAGGAACTCTGGGAACGAACCAACCAAGAACCTATCACGCAACAAATATGCAGGAAGAAGTGGAGATGGATTGGCCATGCACTGAGAAGGCCGACGGAGGACATCACGCGTCAGGCCCTCGAGTGGAATCCCCATGGGAAGCGACGAGTTGGACGTCCAAGGGTGACATGGAGGAGGTCGTGCGAGCAGGAAATGAGAGCTTGTGGGCTGTCGTGGGACCAGGTTCAAAAGATCTCAGAGAACAGAGGTCACTGGAGGCGTGCTACTGAAGCCCTATGTTCCACTAGGAACCCAAGGGACTAATAATAATAATATAATAATTTCAAGAGTTCTGACACAAAAAACTAGGTGGCAGTAGGCAGATTGCTTAAAATTTGGTCTACCAAAAAATATCTTCCACCGAATATATTGAATAAAATTCTTCCCTTTCTGTTTGTTCGATTTTCTTAGATATATGTTCTAAGTTTATCATGTACTCTCACTCTGTTTAAAAACAGCCATTTCTCAAGCTAAGGATGAAACGAAGAATGGAAATGGAGATAAAAATCTAAAAAATATAGTACAATACTCTTCCAAGAATGTCTATATCGAACTGTAGATTTTTACACTGGCTTACTGGCCTGCCACCACCATAATCACACTCCATTCTGTATTCATCCCCAAGTTCAGACCAGACGCTAATGTTTTACCAACTCCCCTCTTCACACTAATACCTTTTATTCGGTTATTATTAACACTATTCAGATGCGATAATTACTTCTTGTAAAAATATTGTACAGGAAGCATATTTTTTAAAAATAACCTTCTGGAAATTCCATAATGTTTGGAATAAAGAGATTACTGCAATATTATGTAGATACATAATGCAAAAAGCAGATAAATTTTAGTTATTGTTTTCAGCTACTTATAAGTAACTAAATCACTTATAACAATTAGCTTTGTAAACAAATGTTGAAATAACACCTTATGGTAACATATTTTTCTCGATCTCATAATAGTAATCAATTTATAACCTTTCGCTTAATGACCACGTCATCAAAATAATACATCCTCGGTAAATACAAGTCAAAACCTGCCAGAAACTCATTTTGTTAGAAGAAATGGTGATAGTAAAGCGAATCAAACATTTTATTTCCTCTGATCTATAAAATACCTTTTTGAAATAAACTCAAATTTTTGGATCCCTACGACTAGTAGATTACTTTGGAAATTGAATTTTAGTGGGAATATCACGAATGGTTCATAAGTGAATGCAGCGGATTCTCCCTTTAACGTGCTAACGCGAATACTTGCCTCTCAGTTGGAAAAGTAACTCTCGTTGCGACTGTTTAGAAATGTCCTGTTGCAGTAGAGAAAACTCTGTTGATATCATTTTATAACATGCAAATATTATATCTTCTTTAGGTTGTTTTTTCTGCCCATTTTACTTTGCTTTCTAATGTAATGGAAATTAAATTGACAAAACTGGTAGAAGGTCTCGTCTGTCGTTTGCCTATTAAGTTTCTAACTTTCGAATAATTAATTCTAATTAGGACTCCTTAGCTAATATAGAGGAATGAAGAAATATACTTTGAGATGAAATCGTCAAAGAGATTAAAAAATAAAGGGGAAATATCATTTAGCTCTGTCATTCTATCCCTATCTGTACACGACTAATTAATTATTAGCTGGATTGCTTATATCTGTCAACGAAATTATGCACTTCAGTGATAAGAATATTTCTCAACGATTTCTCAAATTACAACATCTCTGTAGTTTGTTTGATCTTAGTTCACCAAAAGGCCTAATGAATTCGAAAAATTGCGAAATTTCAATTTGTAACAGAAGTATTTACTGTTGACATGACAAAGTAGGAATAATGACCAGCGAAATTCAAGAAAATCTTCTGTCATCATACAGTTCTTTTAATATATACATCTCTATATTCATACCGTGATTGATATTTTCAGAAAATGTTTGACTTTCTTAATTGTTTCTTTGCGTTTAGGCTGATTTGAATAGTTCTATGAAACAAAAAAGAAATTTGTACAAAACTAACTGTTACTTCAGACCTTAACGGATAAGATTACCCACTGAACATCATCTTGGAGTGTTTTGATTTATTTGGTTATTCAGTTCACCTAAAAGCAGTTATCTGTTGAGGATATGGCTGTCATCTTAAAAGTTATCACTACTTTCTACTGCGAATGGATATCTTTTGACCTGACAGCTATATAATCTCTCCCCATATAATTTATCTAGTTGAATAAATCTCACGTTTGATAATCTTTGCATTTTATTTATTTCAGATTTCATTTATCTCAATAATACGTCTTCAGTTTTCACATCATTTTTGATTTACTTGTCTTTTTTGCATTCGTCAGAGTTATCATTGACATGTAATTCCATTACTACGGCATTACACCAAATCGTTTAACGACATTTACACAAATTTTTATAACGTATGATAGGTATTCCTGTTTGTGATATTCAGTGTTTGAAGACAATCAATTGAAAGCTTGTTCATGCTCAAAATCGATGCATATTCGCATCATTATAGAAATTCATTTTTCCCTGGGAGATTCAAATTTGCGTCACTCTGTTACAAAGTCAACGAATTTACTTCTGAATCCTTTAAGCCTAAATCAACACATCAGTTTTTACGTTCATTCATTTTCTTCGATTTTTCAATTCTACAATATTCTCCTAATTTTTTAAGATTTACTTTTTGACTCTTATTAAAACTTATTAACACCGTTGTGTGTGAGTTTGTGCCAACAACATTCTCTACCTCAATAAATCTTATTGTTACAAATAAGCTGAACATTTAGTGTACATATAAGTATGAATTGTCTTAAGAAAAATGTAGGTGTACCTACATTTACACCATATGAGTCATTATAATCAATCACACATAAAGCATAGTGTTTCTTTAATTTGAACATTTGGAAATACTGTCGATACATCTGAGGAAAATACAATTTTCCCTGCAGTATTCAAATCACAATTACAATCAAGAAAACGAATGTATCATGCAATAAAATGTGAAAATTTATGTTATATATATATATATATATATATATATATATATATATATATATATATATATCGTACGTCATCAACTACAAAGTCATAGACAGAAATCAACAAACGCATCATCCTACCATACATAAAGAATATATCAGAAATCACAAGGTAACTGAAACCACTTGCAATTGGTGTGGCTCATAAACCAACAAATTCTCTCCAGACACAATTATCTAGACCAAAGGATGCAGCATCTAAAGAAGACAAACAGAATATCATTTACAAAATCAACTGCAATAACTGTGCTCAACACTACATTCGACAAAGTGGTCGTCCTCTTCGTTTACATGAGCACTAATTGGCTACTAAACGTCACGACATTTCGTCACTCATCTCAATACACGTGGGAAATTACGGGCATGAATTCAATTTGACAATGTAGGAATTTTGGACAGATGAAACACAAAGATTGTCAGAGAATTCGTAGAAGCTTGACATTCAGGTCAGTCAGCAATCAACAGATGTATCGACATAGACCCTACCTATCAGCCAATAAGAAAGACGATAAACGACAGAAAGGTCAGAGGTCAAGCAGACGGACAACCAGCAAGAAAATCTACACACTCAATGACACAACAATCACAAAACAGTTCGTCAGAGCAGGCTACCAAATTACTCACTGAGGGATATTAACAGCTCACTTTATGCTGAAGTCAGTGCTGAAGATGTCATCTAGAGAGACGATGAAAGCTCTACGATTAAATAACCCAGCCCAGAGAACACAATACAACCAAGATAGGCATACTATCTAAATCGTTCGACTGATGAATCAACAGTAATAAAACTATTTGTATATTAATGACGGATAGTAGCTAGCAGCGGGATCCAAGACGTGCGTTTCGTCCAATTCAGGACTCGTCGGCTAGATGCGCCTGTCTGACACTAAGCCATGTTGTTCCCACTAAGATTCGAAGAGTATTTGTTTAAATTCTATTGTAATTCAGGCCTTAGTTCAACTGCATTCCCTATTTCATTAAACTAAGATCAGTCTATGAGACTGAGACAATCTTATAAACAAACAGAATGTTATTTTCTGCTTTTACATTTAAATTGACTGGAATAATTCCCGAGAAAATTAATTTCATAGTACACCCAGTATGATTATAATCGTTCTAGGCAAAACTCTACATAATAAAGCGAAATCAAAAGTCAACAAATAGCAGACTATATTGGTCAAGTTGTGTTTTTTAAGTTGGATGGTTTAATCGGATAAACCATCCACGTATGAGAACACAAGACAATCATGATCACCTACTTAAGCTAAACATATTCTTCAGCATTTCAACAGTAGAGTATTGAAATGAATAAAGTAGAACAATAGATTGGTAATTCCAGAGAATTTGGTTCAAAGCCTACAACATAAATCAACTTTACAATATAATACAAACTCTTTAATGACATCAATAAGCTTTATACCCGAAAACAAATATTTAAGCGATAAACTTAACATAAGAAATAGAAATTATTTCTATAATGAGAATTTATTATGGAATCATTTAATAGATTACATACGAATTGGTGAATATTAGTTTTAGGTATACATATGTAAGTTACCTTGTGTAATGGAAGTATTATGCTTAATTAGTTTACAGATATATTGGGTTATTTGTTGAATTTCTTGTTTGTTTAAAACTGTTCTTAGTTTCATTTTATTCCACTTAACCATATCTCATAACATTTGGCAATCCACTTGGTGGTTCTGCATTCAGTCTTCTTAATTCTTCATCAATATCCCGATTTGGAGTCATGTATAGATAATAGTCGAAATCAGGACCAAAAAGTTGTCGTCTTGATGATAAGCTTCCTCCACTTAATGTCTGATGGGGTAAAACAGACTTTTTCGATAACAATAAATCAGACCAATCAACATGTTTTCTATTTGTGTAATAACATTCACATTTACACAACAAAAGTATTATAAAGAATAGTAATACTTTTAGATATGTAACCATACTGTTCAATATGATAAGGATGTTAGATACTTATTTAGTTTATTTATAATGCAAATTGAACTGAAGTCTAATCACCTTCGAATAAAATTAAAGGTACTTGATAATGTCGGTATTTATCATAATTTACGGTTGAGTTACACCCACACATTAATGGCAGTGATTTATTAAGCGTTCAATTATTACTGGTTCATTAATACCCGTTATGCACCAATAAGATTTATTTGAAGAAAATTATTGTCAGAAAATAACATTCTAATGACAGATGCTCGAAATTCTTTATTTCTACAGTAGGAAATATTGTAGATTTTCATTTATATAGCTCATATAAACGTCTTTACTTCCGACAATTCATATCTAAACAAGCGTCATGTGAACACGAAGCGTGTATTACTTTGATTGTCAGTTTGAAACACGAAACACGCAAAGAATTTGTACATAGGCATACAGTGAAGTTCCAATGACTATGAACAATGAGCAAAATGTGATTATCATCAACTACCAACCTTTTCTCCTATTGGTAACAACTCTGAGAATGTTACTACTCACAATCTTCATCGGCACCGACTTTTGAATCTTTCAGTCCGATGGCAAGCTCAATACTAATAAGTAAGGTTTTAAAAGGCATATTATTTTTAACGTAAAGTATCTTTCTGTGATTCATATTACCGACTAACTAGCTGAAAGAAGACGTTCCAGTTCTTCATGACACTTCATATATTCGCCTTTACGTAAGGGAATGTCAAGAAACAATCTCATGACAAACGTAGAACTAACTTTATGCAAGTGAAACCTAAAAAAGCTTCTCACCCCTTAGAATAGAATTCAGGGTATATCTTTATTTTCAAATCATTAAAGATTTCAATTAAAACTCAAAAGCCATCAGAGTGAACAAAGAATATTCTCCTCGACAACTTCTCCCACAGGTTCTACAGTTATATGTACATATTGATGCTTATACTGGGTGATGATTGAAGGTGAAACGAAGATATGGACCGCGGTCAGATTAAAACCAGAGACCACCGGGTTTCCGGCCTGATACTCTACCTGCATTCTAAGACTATTTGACCTATGGAGATGCACAAACCGGGAGTACTAATGAGACCAATTCTTGATATGCAAAATGTTCCTAACTATGCTCTAACGAATCGGCTAATCATCAATCTTCAGCGTTTGCACAAACAGTTAGAAAAGCATACTGTGAAAGAAGTAGTTAAGTTTTCAGAGAGAATTGGGGATGTTATCATTATGAATAAAAATATGACGTCATAGGATGTAACATCTCTATTCACCAATGCTCCTCTTATTGGGACAGTTAAATATAAATGTGAACAGTTGGAAGAAAAGTCTATCAATGTTGGAATCCCAATGGATGTCCCGAAAGAATCATGGCTCAATAGTACGATAAATATTAACTTTCAGTTTAATGATGAACTATGCAGACAAGTTGAGGGAGTCTCAGTGGGCTCACCACTGGCTCCTTTTTGATGGGCCTTTTCCACCGAATCTAGAGAATGGTTTACTTAAACGATCTATCAGAAAATTGTCATTTTACTGTCGATATATAGATGATACATTCATCCTGTGTGGAAGCAATATGGACAGGTCAAAGATACTCAGTAGATTGAGAACAGCACACCCAGCGATGAATTTTACATGTGGAAAGAGTCTCAAGGCAAGACAGATTTTCTCCATAATCTCTCAGGATGAAATGGTGGGTCAATAAAGAGGGATTTGTTTAGGACGGGGCAATGCACACATATTCTCAGCTTCGTCCCCCTTCACTACAAAAGACATTTAGTAAAAGCTTCAAGTTAAAGAATAAACGCTATGTGTACGGAAAACACGATTGGGGAGGAATTGTCGCCTTTGCACAGCATACTAATCAAAAATGGCTATCCTGATAAATTCATTAAGATAGGTATGACTGTAAGTCTTAGGAAAGTATTCTCCGGGGGCTGTGAGAAAACTGCTGTGCATTCAAATACAATTTAGGGGTGACGTGCTTAGGGGGATACTTATTCACAAACCACACAGATCCATTCAGAGACCTTTTTATGGTGGTACATTACAAAATTCGTTTTCCTTACCCCAGTGGTGACACTAAGACGGAAAGATGAATTTCTCAGACTGGTCACTTCCTGTTGTGTTTATCAGTTCCGCTGCTCCTGTGGGGCCAGTTACGTCGGCTGCTGCTCTAGGAATTTAATTTTTCGTGCTTGCGAACACCTCCCAGAAAGGGTTAAGTAAAGGTGTGATGAAGACCTTTACCAGCTCCGTACTAACACACTTCGTTGAAACGAATCATAAAGTGGCTATGAATAGGTCCTTTTCCGCGTTTCCATCAACTTGTCCAAAGGTACTCGGCTCAGGATTTTTTAAACTGCAAAAGCAGTAGCAATCAAACAACCCGAGTTATGTGCTCAGAAACAGTAAGTGATATCTCCGCAATTACCTTGGACCGATTCGGGATGCACAAATTCGTTAGCCTCCTGCCCTCAAATAATCTATTTCATACTGTAGATCACCGTTCTTTCTTATATTCTGAAATAATTTTCAAAAATTCACCCAACCTATTTTGTCCTTCTTAGTTTATTTCATCCAGATGTCATAAACACTGTCCCATTGTTTTACTAAACTATGAACTTATGACATTACCTACACAGTACAATTATTTAGATAATCAGTTATTATTTTGAATTGAATCCTAGTAATAGTTGGTCGCATCATAAAAGTTCAAACAAAACTTTTCTCAGTTGACTTCCTCAACTGTATAATATTATTAACAAACTAATTAGCGGAATCTCTGTAACGCTGATGCGTAAAGCATCAATATGCTTATCATTTGACTATGTGAGATAGCCATAGTTTGGCAGAGTAGTATTTATACTGGGCGATGATTGAAGGTGAAATGACTGAGGCCACTTAGAACCAACGACTACCGGGTTTCCGGCCCGATATTCTATCAACTGAAATACGCATCATGAATTCACATGGTAGCCTAACAGAAACTTTGCTGATTAAAGTGAAATAGAAATCTGACCAGCAGTCTGGCTCCAAAAATCAGTTAGTAGAGTATCAGGCCGGAAACCCGGTGGTCTCTGGTTTTAATCTGACCGCGGTCCATATCTTCGTTTCACCTTCAATCATCACCCAGTATAAGCATCAATATGTACATATAACTGTAGAACCTGTGGGAGAAGTTGTCGAGGAGAATATTCTTTGTTCACTCTGATGGCTTTTGAGTTTTAATTGAAATCTTTAATGATTTGAAAATAAAGATATACCCTGAATTCTATTCTAAGGGGTGAGAAGCTTTTTTAGGTTTCACTTGCATAAAGTTAGTTCTACGTTTGTCATGAGATTGTTTCTTGACATTCCCTTACGTAAAGGCGAATATATGAAGTGTCATGAAGAACTGGAACGTCTTCTTTCAGCTAGTTAGTCGGTAATATGAATCACAGAAAGATACTTTACGTTAAAAATAATATGCCTTTTAAAACCTTACTTATTAGTATTGAGCTTGCCATCGGACTGAAAGATTCAAAAGTCGGTGCCGATGAAGATTGTGAGTAGTAACATTCTCAGAGTTGTTACCAATAGGAGAAAAGGTTGGTAGTTGATGATAATCCCTCTTCCCTCTTCCTCTGGGATTGAAAAATATTTCATCTGGTGTTTCTATGTTGATGAGTAAAATAATAGCTTGATTGGGAAATCAATTCGCGATATATTTATCATTTGAAGATGTTAACAGAATGTCTTAGCAGAAATTAAGTCTTTTGTTGAGCAGTATTGATGATGACATCTTGACTGATATCAATAGCTCTGATAAGGAAACTCTGAGCTTGGACAGTAACAGTAACAAGAGGAATTGCAGAAATTTGTGAGCTGTCCGAAGGGATGAAATTGAAGAAATTTTTACATCCTATGGTTATCTGCCTACAAAGGTTTATATTATCTCTGACTGAGTGCTTGTTGTTTCAAGGTTACATCAAATTACTCTTTATCAGTCGTTCATTATCCAATTCTTGCATTTACATGCTATTGTACTATGTAAACATAGTCAGTTGATCAGGGATTCGGCTTACGAATATTATACAAATGGAGTCGAAGAAAGTCACCATTTGGATAGTTTGTAGTTTGTAAGCTGAATAGCAACTTCGTAAGCTAACTATCCAGTTCACCCACCTGGTCTTGTCTGCAGTGAATTCACACTCACACATAAGTCAAACTTACAAGGCAAACATATACTACTGAGAGAAGAAACCTTAATAATGTGGTTTAAGTAATATCGCTTCTCCTACACCGTTTGATGTGGAGGGAGTAGGCGACTAGTAGATTTGTACATATCTTTCTTAATAAAAACATTTAAAAGAAGTCTGAGCATGAATTATTCATGAGTTCCATTTGGTAATTAAATATTGTAATAGACTACTTGAATAGAATCAACTTGTATAATGGTAAACATAGATGAACAAAAGTATAACATGAGTGAAGTTCAGCAAAGTTATAAATCGTAGAGATGAATTTTTTATAAATTATAGGTAATATCAAGTAAGATTTCGATAATACTTTCGCAGTGACCAAGAAATTATGATAAAATTATTAATTATTACAAAATTCTCCAACCTCGCCTGGTTAACTAGTTCACTAGTTACTAACCGGTCCTCAGCCCGGGTAAAGAGGGAAGATTGAGCATACGCCTAGCAACCCTACCATGGAAGACCAATCCAACCACTAAAGAAACTTCAAAGCACAAACAAAATATAAAAAATAAAAACAAAATTATTCCTCGCTGGAATCGGAGAGACTAAATAACGCCGGTTGGTGAAAGCCTTCGGGAAGCCAGTTGGACGATGTGTCTTCTCTCGGTGAAGGCGAAAGTAGGGGTGGGGACATGGAATGTCCTCATCATGTTTAAACCCAGCAAGGCTGCCCAGACTGCAAAGGAGATGAAAAGGTATCACATTGAAGTGCTAGGAATTTGCGAAAGCAGATGTAATGGGAGTGGATTCTCCAAACTGTCAACTGGAGAATCAATAATCTACTCCGATATTGTCACCAAGACGACAACCAAGAGCACAATGAGT